CCCCGTCCCTGCGCCCACACTGCGGTGGACATCGTTGCCGAAGATGGTCGAGCTGTCAACGCGTGTAGGCGGCCAGAAAGACGCCACGACTTATCTGAAGAAATTGGTCGTGAAACATCATCTAAGTAACTTTTTCTGCTTGGTGCTGAATATCAGTAATGCACTGTACTTAATACCTTATTTTGCTGGGAATTAGCTCCATCTCCCGACCGAAACAGTCTAGCGGGTTATTTACCTGAAGGCGGCATTCCTCACAAGTTTCCGAAGTTTGTTGCCTCCGCCATTTCGCCGAACCAGGAGCAAATGGGGACAACATGCACTACACCATAAATACAAACAGGCTCTCGTACTTTCTAAAGTCACGTGCACTAAGTTGCAACATCTGCTGTCACGTTACTTTCAGGTGACAGTATCATCATCGTCATCAACAGCAGCTGCAGCAAACGGAAGTCTCCCAGTTGCCTCCGCCAGCGGCGCAAGCGCAATACGCTTAATGTTCACTGGACTGACACAGCAAGACAGGCAATGGCCAGTCGAGCAACTGCACCCACCTCCCCCCCATCTCCCCCATCCCTCAGCTGGCCAATTCTACGGTCCCAGCTCGACGCACATACGACCACTCATCTTCGCGTCCCCAGTACGAGGAAGGCGACTCGCCACCATTCGCGCACTGCATTGACCGCGGGGTCGCACGCACTCGTCCACAGCCGGCTTTACATGCGTAGACACACGCACGCACGTCTGCACGCGCGCGCGCGCACGCGTCTACGCACACCGATCGATGATCGGTGAAGGCGCGATGCACGCGTGCAGGTCGCCGCGCGAAATCACATAGCGTCCAGTGACGACGGAAAGGTAGCCCGAGAAAGGGGAAAAAAGGCGAGAGAGAGAGAATAGGGGGAAGTTAGACTAGTGATTAAAACGCCGAATGTGCGTGCACCCCTGGCTGATTCGGTGAAGTCTGTCTTTCCGTGCACGCTCGCAGTCCTGTTTGCGTTTGCGTACGTGTGTTCGTTTGGGAAAAACAGTGGCAGTTTTATTTACGTCGGTTGATCCTTCTGGGGCACTTTTCGATCCCACCGGTTTCGTGGGTCACTTTGTCGACCTTCTACCACACTCTCCGCCCTTCCGTCGAGGATCTCAGTGAAAGTTGCCAAGTAAGTCAGACAGTTTATTCCACTGCACCAGTAATGACTCACCTTCCGATGACCACCTATGCGTCTAAAGGTCACTAGATGGGCTTGGTCGACAGATTTTTGGGACACAAAACTACCCTATGATTCATGTTGGGCATGTGCGGTAACCGAAACGGTGATAAATAGATTTGACATCCTATGTCGGTGTGTGCAGCTTCGGATTTTCTTAAATGAACGATGTGAGCAGTTGGTCATACTACACGCCTGTCATGGCATTTCTCCGTCATCTTACCTCACGCAAACCCATGGACGGGAGGGATGAGAAAAATATGATTTTCAGGGTTGACATCTGTTATGGGGTTAAATATGCAGACTTAACTGCCCTAAAAAGACGATCAAGTCTTGGCTGGAGTTTCTGGAAGCTACTTGCATAGCTGACCAGCTCTAAACCCAGATCACAACTCGGACTAGCTAAGTAAACTTTATAAAAACGAAGAAATCATTAAATCAACCTTACAGTTGAAATTTCAAATGAAGGAGAACCAAACGAGATCAGCGTTTCACACTGGTCGTTAGGTAGTTGCAAGACGGTTCCCTAAAACAGATAGCTACATTCGTCTTCTAATATCTTATTCAGACTAAAATCCATGCTTAAACAGTTAGAAGTTTTCAACCGGTTTTATCTACATACACAAAAGTTAGTTGGTTTGTCGAATAGGCAGTACCCAGTTAACTTTATCAATCAATTTTTTAACAGAAATTATAAGACAGAACTTGCGGGAATGCATTCCTAGTACTCATTTCGGTGAAATAACCTCTTTAAAAATGTAACTTTCGGGCTGAGAATGTTTTGGTCTTTGCGAGGGCTTGCAATTCGCATATAATTTTGTAGACACAATGCTTACTTTCTCCAAGTGGCTTTATCATTAAAAATCCCCCTATCGAATGTTCGCTGAAGGCTCATTTCTGCATCTTCGCCTAATGCTCTGAAGTAATTCTGACAAAACCCGTAAAATATTACCGTGTGTCAGGAAAATCTGGCGCGATATTTAAACCAAGGTCTAGGCCTCCTGGATATGACTTCGTGTCTATTCGACCATGGCTGTTGAAATGAATTTCGATCACTAATATCTAACTATTAAATTATTGATTTTTCTCGCTTGCTCCGTGCCCTAGTACACATTTAGATTTTCCAGGCGCAGATATGACATCTACAAAAAATAACTGAAAAAGTGAATGAGGCGAGGCAGGCCTATGGGTTAGTCTGTTGCCATTGAAAGAGAAGCAAGGTTTCCTACATAGACTAACCCGCGTAAATAGGAAAGTCATTCTTGAAGACTGGAATGCATGGTTAATGGCCTAGAAAACTAACCTATAAAACGGATTTATGCTTTCGGTGTGGTTTTACCAGAAAAGGAATTAGTTTGACAAATAACACATGCTTTAATTTGTTATCCGAAGGTTTCGACATTGATACGCGGCAAAAGTATTGCCTCGTTATAATGAAGAAACGGTGAGCGAGGATTATGGGCGGTTAAGTAGTGAGGAAAGTGGATAGAGTTGGCTCCCTAACGTTCCAGTAGCTCTGGAGTTATGGCTGGGTTCCCGTCAACCCATGTGCGTTCACTATCTGCACCGGCTGTCGCATCTGATGATGGGTTGGTATGTGAATTCGAAACGTCAGACAAATAAAATTATGGTTCTAGCGCTGCCTTCATCTCAACTTGCACACCGTCTCTGACTGGTTGACAACAGCTGCGGGAGTTTTCTGCTGGACTATGACTAGTACCTACGAGGCAGGCCAAAACAATGGAAAACCCCAGGTAGTTTGCCCGCTAGGTAACCCGCCAGCTTGGAAAAACTTGTCACGCGAATTCGCGAACTCATACGGATTACAGCTAAACCGGCGTCACTTTTGTGACATTGTGAGCGAGACTGCTTATCAGGAGTACATTTTCTGGCGAGTATTTCACATCAACGACACACCAAACTAGGGAGCTGTGCTCTGATTTCAGACAGCTCCAGAAATAGACATTCGACCTTGCGGAAAGTAATTTTGACACCTAATCTCCTCGAGCTTGATTGCACAATAAGGCAAACGATAGGGCGTTTTCACCTAAATTTCGTTTAATCGGATCCTCGAAATGGATGTTGTTTCAAGGACTAAAGAATACCCGAAATTGACAGAACTCAACCGGTTATCTGCCAACTGACAACGGGAGCCGCGTCGGCTTTGAAGGCTGGTTTTACTGACTTCATACATGACTAATGGAGCAGACGAGATTTGCTTCGTAGGCAGTTCCATAAGATGCTCCAGGAATGGATTGGAATAGATGGTGGAAAAATCAACGAATACCAGTGTTCGTCCCAGCAGTTCATACCAGTGGAGAATCTTGCGAACTTGCCTTTGCCGGAGGTTTAATCTTAAAGATGGCAGCTTGGGTTTGGCTAAGTATACATATAGTTGGATTTGCGTCTACCGATTGGGCTAAGAGGACACGCCTGTCCCATCGTGTTTTGGAGCTCGAGTTAAAGTCCCACAGGCGGCCACACAGCGACTAGTTGTCAAGACTGCCGACAAGGGCAAGATGCTTAGTCATCATCAGCCAGTCCCCCTTGTCTTTTTCGGTAATTTCATTCCGTCCAAACTACTGACTACTGTGCGGCTGCCTGCCGGGCTCTGAACCAAACACGATGGGACAAGCATGTCCCGTAACTCGATCGATGAACGCAGTCCCACCATGGTTAGTATTCCCGATCGCAACCGACGGGGTAGCGGGTCTCGACGAATAGAGTGTTGGGCCTACACGGATTCGATTCTCAGATGACCCTCGAGCCTCGAGGCTCCGGTGTTCCACACTTCGGGCTTGGGTATGGCTGGCTGACGACGGCTAATAAGCCAGAAATGGCCATTCCAGTCTCCCTTGTCTTTGTCGGTAATATCATTCTGCCCATATATAATGTATATATATATATATCTATATAAATGTCATGACAGATGGCTTCTCACCGATTAGGGTACGGAACGTACTTGTTCCGTTGTGCCATAGGGCTCATACTAGAACCACATTAGAACTCTACCACTGAAGGTCCATCTGTAATGATTGATATTCCCGATCACAATCGACAGGACAACGGGCCTGTGGCTCAGTGGTAGAGTGCCACACTTCATGACCAAGGATCCTGGGTTCGAATCTTCAGTGATCCATATTTGGGGTCGGGTATGACTGGCTGACGACTGCCAATGAGCCAGAAACAGCCATTCCGGCCTTCCTTGTCTTTGCCAGTACCGTGTCATTTAGTACATATATTTATGTGTGTGACTAAATTTATCAAATGATTGGCTACATGTCCATCTCAGGGAGTTCTCTGTTTTCGTCTTCTAGGCTAGTGCGGGGTGTCTCGTAAACGGGACAGTTACCAGTGTGATGACAAAAATCTGTTAAAAAAACGCTTTTTCTCCAGACTGCCGAGAATACTTACCATATTATCTTCGACTTAACAGTTTTTCTGAACGAATGCTCCCAACGAACTGAATCCCAAAACGAAGTAGTAATTTTGATAGCTGATGGGGATGGGGAGATGAAGTAATGACTATCAGTCCGTCTACACAGTCATCAGCCTTTTAATTTTCTCATACATTACTCGTTAACCTGGAGTAAATCACTCTAATTGAGACTGAATGTCGATAAGGATATTTGAGCCGAAGTCCATCAGGCACTGCGGAATAATCGCGTAATGTTTATAAACTTAACGGACAGCCAGTAGTACGATGCAAAATACTCGACAGCACAGGTGTTAGCTAACAAGTTGGGGTTAGTACGCTTTTCTGCTCGGCCAAACCTATTGATAACAGCCTGCCAGTCAGCGACCAAAGGTAGAAGAAAGAATAAAAATGTGCATTTTTGGTTCATCATCATCATCATCATCATCATCATCATCATCATCATCATCATCATCATCAGCAGCAGCAGCAGCAGCAGCATCATCATCATCATCAGCATCATCATCATCATCATCATCATCATCATCATCATCATCATCATCAAGAAGAGAATGGTCTTATAGCAATGTTCAGCGGGCTTACCAGTCACCTGCGCCTGTTCAGGGGAACATGCATGATTAATATTCCAATTCCAACGGAAAAGACAAAGAGCCCGTAGTTCAGCTGGTAGAACATTCAACTCAAGGACAACTGATCCCGAATTCAAGTCCTGGGTGTCCCAAACCTTAGGCTGGGTTTGGCTAGCTGATGACGACTAATAGTCCAGAAACGGCCATTTTGATCTCTGTTTTCTTTGCCGTGCGACCGCCTGTAGGGTTTAGACCAGGCTCCAGGCTACAACGGAACGATCGTCTCCCACAACCTTACTTGTGGACTGTTTTGGTCCGTCCTGCTTTTATCAGGACATGGTTATATCATTAATGATTTGCCACAGAGTGACCTTACCAATATTGAAAATACTTGCTAATGACTCATGCGATAATCCTTCCGCTGCTAACGTCCTCATCCTTTCGGACCTGCTTATCTTACAGTGTGGCAGAAGGAAGTGAAAGCATGTCGCGGGTACTCAGTATATATTTGTTTATGTTTGGTAATTGTTGGTGTGGTAAAATAAATTACTTTCAAACAGATTTACCGGTGGGTTTTTGGCATAAAACGCCCTTCTTCTGGAAGACAATGCAGTTTTCCTGCCTTTGCCTGGTTTCATGGACGTAAAATCCAGTTTTACGTTTACAAATGGGATTCATTCCAAATCTTTTTCAGTGTCGCTTATGTTTTTTATGGCACGACGCACACAAATAGGGGGTTTGAATTGTGAATTTCAGTAGTGTAGGCAATTACTTGAATATCAAGAAAAGTGAGATCTTGCCCAAATGTGACCCGTTTGCCCGTCATAAAACACATTTGAAATCAATTATTCTTCGGTAATCAGACTTTTACATCTCAAATCAACTCAAAAACCGAAAAATGGCCCAAATGTGACAGATTAGCCACGCAAAGTTTGATCATGACATTTCTTGAGTTAGGTCGCCCACTGCATATGCATGCATATATTTACCTTCGTCATTTTAATTTCTACTAAAGAAAAATCGGCTTCTCATCTAGCGTGGGTTTCATAAAGATTTATTCCTGCTTAGAGCAGTCCTACCACTGTATGAGCAGGCATTTGGGAAAATTAATTTGCAGGAGCATATTTAATGCCAGATGTGTTTTCGCTCAGATAAATGTGAAAACTTGTTGACTCTGAAATGCCGGTTATTATTAGTTCCCGCAGCAAATCCCAAAACTATTGCAAAAGTCTAGGCAAGATACCAAAAACACCTTCCGAACTGCTTCAAAAGGTTAACAGAACCTGTTAAATCGTGAATTGAGAATTTCAGTAGCGTAGGAGATCAGTAAGATGTTATGAAACGTTGGCTTCTGCCTAAATTTGACCTGCTCTCTTTTCATCTAGGTGATTTACAATGAATTATTCCTTAGTGAACAGCTGTTTGCGCCGAGTTTTTGCAATTGGTTCAAGTGATTTATGCAAATAAATTTAACAAACAAGAACAACAACGTTCAAGTTTTGATCACGATATTTTGTGCGTCAGACCGTCTACCGTATATGCATGCAAACACTTACCAAAGTCCTTTTTTGCCACTAAAGGCAAATTAACTTTTCGCCTAGGGTGGATTTTTTGAGGGTTTCTGCTCCTTTATGGAGCCCCTCTAACGCAGCAATAAGCAGATATTTGGGAGAAATTAATTCCTAGAAGCTTATTTAGTGCCAGGTAGGTTTTATTTCAGGTAAATGTAAAAACTGATTGACTCTAAAATTTCGATTATTCTAGTTCCTACAGCAGGCATCAAAACGCCCACAGAATTGCTTGAGAACGTCAGCGCACCTCAAAAGCATGCAATCGCAAACCTGTCACATCGCATGTGATTAAGAGGAAGAACACAAGTCCATTTTGGTCTCGTAGCAAAGAGATATGGCGTTTAGGGTTCATTTCAGAGTTCATCGTCAGAAAGTGAGAAATGGACACTGTGAGCCAGGTTAGAAAAAACCATCCCCCAAAACGGATCCTCTAGAGGCTGACCTGGGTTAATTCACTAGACACAGTCGACAGGTTTGGCAGGCCTTTATGCGCTGATGAATTCCAGCTTCAGTCTGAATTTCCAGGTAAACACACACTCATTCCAGAGAGCATGCATCCTTCTTTGCCTCCACGTTCTACTTGCGAATTAATTTTTATGGAAAGTCTCATAATTTCCATTCGTAGTTGTCTGAAGTTAGGAGTTCTTATCAACAAATTATAGGAAAGTAGGGGTCTAACCTTCCTCGGGGGCTTAGGAAGAAAACTGGGTATCGAGTTTTTACACAGTTGATGGGCGAGTTAGCAAAAGTCTGGTTATTAGCATACCCGGCGTGTCATGGGGAGCTGGCCGTTTAAGGAAGTTGTGAGGGAGGGCCCCAGTAGCAACGTTTAAGTCAGTTCAAAAATTGCACCCAAAAATAAATTTATTGGACATGGTGCAGGCGTTGCTTTCATCAAACCCCTTTTTCTGCCAGATCCTGCGACAAATTTTTTTTCATCCGTATTCACGACGACTTTTCAATGCTTGAAAATATCTGCCAGTTAGACAGCCGGTTTTACACCTCTGAATGCTTTCACAGAGAGGGAGCTAGTCTGAACTAGATGGATACTGTCTAGTCGCAACTCCGCTGGAAGGATTCGTACTTCTCATCTGCTCGCGATTGACGCATCTGATTGGTCATTGTGATTTGGGATCTCCCAACGAACATCACCGCCTTGCAGATGACTTTCCTAGAAGATATTAACCGCACTCCAGGTAGATGAGGCCGTTCGGGGGAGCAGAATGACCGAAGCATATTTTTTGAAAGGACCTAAAACCTGGAGCACCAGAAAACGTCCTATTACCTTGCTGAATACTCAAGCTTGCCTTGTGACAATTCCTTCTAAACGCAGCAGATAAACTGACACTTAGAACCAAGAAATGCCGCAGGAATCCCAGCTATGTATAAATATTCAAAAAGGCTGCACCTTAAGAACGGGAGATGGCTGGTTGGAACAGATTTTTTGTATTACTTAGGGTTTTGGTGAGCAAGGTTGGCTCGCCATTTTCAAGGCGTTACATGCAAAACATCGATAGAAACTTTAAATATCTGGTCAAACTGAAAAGCTTTAAGCTGATAGCTTTTTTCGCCGCCTCCGCCTTTTGGTGGATTTGAGAGCTGTGAGCGTTATGAATCTTCCCCTCGACTGGGGATTGTTAAGCCTCTGCAGGAGTTAGACCAAGTTGTCGAGTCGGTCTTGTCTGAAGTGACCATGCAAACTGAGACCTGGACCGCTTTAAATCAGGACTCAACGCATATGCTTCTAAAACATTTCAAATAAACAGGAGTCGACGGATATAAGCGTTTGCGTCTTTTTCAGCGCGCACTTCGAAATATATGTAAATTATGGTAGGACTGACTTATATGGTCCTCAAACGGGAAATAAGATTAGAGACGCTCGGTTTCAGTAATAAAGGTGAACTCGCGCATAATTCCGGAAACGTTAAAATATTGCCGTGTCCTAACTTCCGCGAATACTCAAATATAAAACCGAGCCGTTGCCCTAATCTTAACGCTAACCCTACCCTAAACTTTAACTCTGCAGTTAAAACTACCCTCTGCCTTAACCCGAAACTTGATCATGACTTACCTTACCGTGCACTTCAGAGCTAGCCTAAACCCTAACTTTAAACCTAACCCAGATTTAACTGGAAGCTGGCTCAAAGCCACCACGAATTGCAGGCGTTTCCTGTTCCCATGTCCTTTTTGGTGGCCATATAAGTCAGTCCTGCTCAAATTATTATTTTTAAATTACAACATTTCTCAGTCTTTAAGGCGGGACTTTACTCCGAAGTAAATTTCCGAAAACTGCATATAAATGAAAGAAAAATGTACGTTGTATACGAGCAGAAATTCAGTGGGGCAAGTTTTCCAGCTAAGTTGTGAGTACTTCCAAGTGATCATTCGGCTTACTGGGAGACATGAGCTTGTATTTTTCTATGTCATTAATCAACGGACTCATTGACTGCACTTAAATGGATTATAAAATATGGATTTGTTAAGTTTCATCTAGTCTTTCTGAACTATACTGTTGTAAAATACCGTTTTGCGTGGGCAAACAAAATTTTACAAAAGGAGGGAAAAGTATATGGCAAAAATGTGGCTTCCAGTGCAACGGAAACCGGCCGACGAAATCTTTCTCTGGCTTTACTGCATTTAAAAACGAATTTTTTTCGATGGTAAGAATTCATTTTCGCCTCAGTTATTGAAATGATTGCGCGCAGGACTTGTACCAATATTCTCAGTGTGGTTGCCCGTCGTACTACACAATAGACCAAGGATGAAGTTAGCTTTGGCCGAGTCACGCGTCACTGGAATACGAAGGAGGAGGCTGGAAAGACTGTTTCTGATTAGTGTGCATCCTCAGTCAGCCCTAATCCCCCCTGCTTAGGAGGACCGGTGTTTGAGAACAAACTCCCTTCTCATGGAGCATAAAGTCCAACACCTAAGCATCGGGATACGAGCTCGCGTCCCATTGGCTGCGATGCCGCATACGCGAAGACCCTTAGGAGTGGCATTCAGCGATAAGTCATGACTGCAAAAAGGAAGTCGAATTATTTCGCCTCACTTTGGGGCTGAGATCTACAGCTCTTTGCCGGCGGTGACATAATGACAAGAAGTGTCACCGACGAAAGCGATAAAAAGGCCCTTTTGTCTTTTCCAGTGACAGTTCCCGGTTATCTGCCGTCTGTCGCCGTGTATGCGCTTGCCTGAACTGTAAAATAGAGCCCCAACCCGTCCTGAAATCTGGAAAAAGTTGTAAAAGCCAGTCATATGTGAACCACAACATCCTATTTATTCAAGTTTCGAGTGTTTCCTTGTTGCTACGGTTGATTTAGAGTAAAGATAGAAACCATGCCTGTGTTTTTGAGTTATTTTTGTTTGAGCCCCGAAAATCCGATTATTTCCTATGAAAGCTGACATTTTAAATGAAACTTTGCAGGAGACGCCAATAGGGATAATTTCGATCAGATCTGGCGTAGATGGGTAGTCAACCGGTAACGCCTCCGCTTATGCGAAATGTCGGAACTTAGATTTTGACAAGGATGAAGTCTACTGGCGAGGCTTAGTATGAGTGAAACATTTGACCAGTGCCACTACCTGAAGTAGATCAACTCCGAAAAAATATGTTTAGGACGGATTAACTTAGTCGAATACGAGTGCTGCTTAACTTTCAGATAATTAAGTCAACCTCATATAAGGCCGTTTTTTCCTGGTACCGAAATATTCTCACTTTTGCACACAAGAAGGTTTAATTCGCCCAACAATTTTAAGTTCAACATGGCTAACGTCTTAGTGTTGAATTGATGAAAGCAGAAGTGTAAACCGCAAACACAAAAGAAAGTGGAAAATATACCACAAGGCGCATTCCCATGACTTGAGGGAACAGTTACATAACAAAAAAGCAAACGGTAAGACGGTTAGAAAGCCCCTATGAGCAAGATAGTCAGTGTTTTCCGGTTGACCAATGGCAATGCAAATAAGTGACCTGATTCGCACTAAACAGAAGAGTCAATGAAACGTTATATTGTGCGAAGTAGAATGTGCTTGGAGGTATTCCTATTTAATGGTTCTATTTTTGATTCTAGTCAGGGTGCAGGCAAGCGGTTACGCAACGATCAGTGTTTTTTTCCATTTTGATTTTGGATATTCAGCGCTGCTGATAAAGTTAGGGGAACTTTTCAGTTGCTCAATAAATCAGCATCTAAAGCTCCCATGACAGCAGAACCTGCCAATTAGTATTCTTCAAACAGAACACTGGAGACCACGCCCTCATTCTGCTTCTGATTCACCAGTGACCACTTGGATGATGTACGTGTTGACTTATGTGATCACTAGGCGGAATATTGGACTTCTTTTTGCCTTTGGTATCCCGTGGTAAAGATTTTTCAGACAGTCGTCTGTGGTTTAGCGCAAAGGGTTTTTTTTATCAAAAAGCGGCCTTTGTCCTCAAAACTTCAGCTACTATGGCTACTCAAAATGCAGTCATTCAAAAACTAGCTGCTCTTTTTAAACGCGAAAAAATTCGAATGCACTCGGACAGGTAACGCAATAAAAATCTTCGCTCATTAGCAATAAAGCTTTTCGGTGAAGACAGAAAACTCAAACAAAACTTGATTATACCTTATGTTGGAGTTCGGGATTTAGAATCAACGTAGGCGCTTAGGTAACGGCCAAAACTGCTCGCTTTCCGGACTATGTGCCATCATCTATCGGCCACAACCCAGCCACAAAGGGACAGGAGATCTGAAATTGAAATTCGACTTCAACTGGAAATTGAGCGTAACCCTGTACCGCGTGATTTGACACGCGCAGTTTACCAGATATGTCTGTGGTTCATTTAAGGCTTCTGTTTAAACAGAGGGAAAAGTGGAAATGCATCGATTACTTACCATCACCAGGCAAGAAAAATCACTTTTCTGGACGCCTGGCTTTGCAGTAATTTAAACACTACAACAGGTGTTCTGTCTACTAATATTTGAAACAGTTTTCCTTCGGCAGTGGTGGGATAGATTGCAGTGTGTTAAGAATTCCCGATTTATTTTAGTTCTCGTTGACTGTGGCATCTACCTAAAAGAAAGCACAACGTGTTCGTGACTAACCGTGCGATTATACACCAGTTTGATCTTCTTAACAACATTTAACTCAGACAGGCAAAAAATGCACAAGCCTATGTATGAGATGAAGGCATAAAAATGCAAGAATGAATAGGAAGTATTACATTTAGCCCCTACTTCTTAATTAGGTTTATGTAATACAGTTGCAAGTAGCTCATATAATGCGCTAGCCACTTTCTCTTCTACAATCATCTCCCTATCCATGTACTTTAAATAAATTCATTTTGAAAAAAATGGTCGCGTAGAAGCAAACCCTCCTCACGTATTTTCTGCTCAAGAATAAGTTCATTTTCACAAAGAGTCATCCATTAGAAAGTAATCATTTAGGATATGAAAATATTTTTCCTTAAAATAAGGCATCCATCTATTGAGAGTATCAACACATTAAGTGTCTGCTTTTGACAGGGTCATGAATAGTCACCTATACGCTACTTATGAAAAGGCATCAAAAGGCTCGAACTGCACAATTTCGTTCCTACAGATATCGGTCTTTTAGAAAACTCATCCTCGACACGAGTTCCAAGTAAACAATCTCCTTCTACAAGTGATAAGTAACGCTATAAGGCCACTGAAAATCAATAAAATTCCTATATTGTGGAAATGCGTTTTTGCGTTATAAATATTATTCTTTTATGGGAATGGTAGTTTTCTCCCCGTTTGCTGGTTTAAGTAGGAGAATAAACTATCAAATGCAGCACTACCTTATTGAAAATTTTAGATAATTTGGCTTATTTCATCAGCAGAAGACGTTCAGGCGATGAACATTTAATGATTGAAATGTAGACAAAAGGAAGCCTTATGCCTCTCCCTTTTATTTACACGTAATGCTCATCAGTTCGGAGGAAGGGGTAATCTCCCTTAAGAATGGTCGTTAGATATGTGTAGCAAAGCGAAGTGAGTAATCCTGTAATTTACATAAAAACCTTCACCCATAAGAAAAATGGACAGTTCGACAGACCCACCTACAAGTACTGATTTTCCCTATAGCCGAGTGCGTTTTTAATTAGAAAGGGTTACTTAAGACATGGTCTCCAGATATTTCAGCTACGCCAGAATTTAAACTGTCAAAAGAACGTATTTGTGGTCGTATGGAGTAACAGCACTCGGCAAAAATCGTTGCTAAATTGGTAGGATTTTTGCATCGATTTCCCACGCCTCTATGGAGTCAAATATATTTTATAGAAGGGGTGATTAAAACCATCGTTTTTCAGGCTCATTTGATAGACAATCACGTCTTCTCCAAAGTTTATTTTCAAAAAGAAATATTTTGGTTTTCGAAAAGTTTTTCAGTTCTCGGATACTTTCGAGGCCACTCTGCTGTTCTGTCTGCATTTAAGGACAATGGTCTATAGGTTGTATAGTAGAGTATACAGGATGGGCACTTTCTGTGCAATAAAAATTATACATTCCTCTGTTTCATTAAAAATGTGCTTATAAGGTATCAAAATTTATGGAGCTCACGTTGCGTATTTCATAAGATCAGTAACAAACAGACAGATACGATATTACCTCAATGAACACTTCAGGGTCCTAAAATATCACCATGACAGAGTCTATCGTCCAAAAAATGCGAGTTCTTTGAATATAAAATCTGAAGTAGGCATTAAATTGCTGTAACATGTGTACAAAAGAGGAAATTTTTGAGTGTGTCGTTAATAAAGTCTACTTAACGTAAAAAGGCATCACATACCGATGGGAAAAAATTAACAGTACGCAAGAATCAATTTTTTTTATCGGGTGGCATTTTAGCAGACTGCCGGAAACGAGCGCATTCAGGAGCCGGCGTTATGGCGTGACTGAGGATTTTCGAGATTATGCTGCATGGTAGTGAATTTTACAATCCCCCTCAAGTAATTTTTTCTAATCGGAAACGAATTCCAGAATGCTGGTTAGCATTTGCTGATGTATGTCACTGACTGCATGTTTTATTAAGTTTACTTCCGACTGCATGCAAACGATGTGAACTATGTAACTTATGTCATAAAGTACATTTAAATTTACGAAAATCTACCAACTGAATCAAAAAGTTCTAACGCATTCACCAAAACACCAAACTAATAATGAACGACTCCCAATCAAATGAAAACGGAGAATAACTATTTCAAGTACTGTTTCTTTTATTATAAGTAGCAGTTTCATTTTAAAAAATGGAAAGCCTGGAGACGCAAAAATTGGTGTCAAATGCGTAAACTCAATTTTAAGAAGTATAAAATTATTGAATATGCAAATAACCGACTGAATAAAGCGGCGTAAAAACAGTGACGTTAGAAAATTATTTTTACATATCTTTTCATTGAATATCCTCCATGAATTAGTGGCATACAAAGTCTGGTAAGTGCTTGGT